AGAGCGGATTGCTCGGACCATAGAGCGAACGCGCTCTGAGTCGTGCGCAGAGTATCTCTGTTCGCTAGTTTGAAGTTCCACGTGAGATGCGTCCTCGGCCACTTTCTCGTCAACGGGCTGTAGGCGCGAATGTCCGCGACGCCGCATCGCGGCCTGCGCATTACGCGAATCGTTTCCACGGTCAGAACGCCGTTTCCCGGCAGACCGTAGTATTCCTGAAACAACGATAGCGCTTCGCTCAGGGCGGTCGCGTTGTCCAGTAGCGACGACTGCTGATGATTCTCTTCGTTCTCCAGAAAGCCGTAGTTTCGAAGATAACGGGACGCCTCCGCGACGTCATCGTAGGTCGGCGTCACCGCGACGGCCGCGAGCAGGGATATCGTCAGCGTGAGCGATAACGTGACGCGCGTCATGGCTCTCGCGAGGCGCGCGGGACGGTGACGAACTATCGCGCGCGCGCGCGTCCTTTGGCGATACGTCGTTCTCCAGAACGCGAGAAAGCGTAGGGAGAAGAAGAAGGCGAGGGGAGGGGAGGGTAGATACGCTCGGACGCGCGAGAAGGATGATCGAGAGAACGAACTTTTTTTTTTTTATAAAAAATAGAAAAGGGAGAGGAAAGATACTCTAGGACGCGCTAGAGAGGTGATCGAAAAGAAATGATTCTTTATTCGTACAAAAATGATTTTTTTATTCGTACAAAAAATTATTCTTCATTCGTACAAAAAATGTGCGCGATCTACGTGTACTTACATAACGCGTTTAATGCATAATATTCTAATGGGCATAAAATGGAATCATTTGACGCGATATCGAAGCACGCGATACGCGCGTGTATATTAGTCTCGCGATACTTGTCGGAGGACAAGGAGGAGGTGAATGTAGCGTATCGCTTTACGAGTAAGAGGTGTTTATATAAATGCCGACAGGGTTATAACGTTTAATATAACGCTTAGTATAACGCTTAGTATAACGTTAAATATAACGTTAAATATAACGCTTAATATAATGAACTAATTACACGGCCGATACGCGAGTGAGATTGCGTGGGAGGAATTTGAAGTAGTCGGCGAACCTTATATTATAATATTCTAATATAATGTTCGAGAGAACGCGGGGGTCTTCGAGTCCTCCTTCCTGTTTGATCTCGATGATCGCGCGACTATCGACGATGGATGCGATTACAATATACCATTATTAAACATATGTGATTGAAATATACGACTATTAAATGTATGACTATTATATACAGGGTGTTTCATTTTAATCCGACCACCTAAATTTCTCGGAACCTAAGCAAGATAGAGAAAAATGTTTTAGACAAAAGTTGTATGGTTTCAAGGGGGACATAAGATGGTGTCATTAGTTTGATCTTGAAGAGCCACCTGAAGGATACGCGAAGGTCAGCTGCAACTTTTTAAATGGGACACCCTATATGCTTTTGCATATTCTTGTAGCTCATCTCAAGAGCTTTCCAAAATATTTTTACTATATTTAAGTTTACTATATTTCAACTATATTTAAGTTAGTTTTCATTAAGTACTTTCCAAGTTATGAGGCTTGAAATCATTTTTTAATTTTACATAAACCGTAAAATATCTTGTAAAATATTCATTTTTCGATTATCTTACCTTGATACTTTTATGTACAAAATAATGAGAGGAATCAATTGGTGTAAAGAAAACATACAGTTGTTTTTAAGAAAAAATATGGAATTGTTAATTGCAAATTACATTATACAATTATTTTTTCTTAGAAACAACTATGTGTTTTCTTTACACCAATTGATTCCTCTCATTATTTTGTACATAAAAGTATCAAGTTAAGATAGTCGAAAAATGAATGGTTTACTAGGTATTTTACGGTTTATGTAAAAAATGATTTCAAGCCTCATAACTTGGAAAGTACTTAATGAAAACTAACTTAATTATAGTGTTTTGGAAAGCTCTTGAGATGAGCTACAAGAATATGCAAAAGCATATAGGGTGTCCCATTTAAAAAGTTGGAGCTGACCTTCGCGTGTCCTTCAGGTGGCTCTTCAAGATCAAACTAATGACACCATCTTATGTCCCCCTTGAAACCATACAACTTTTGTCTAAAACATTTTTCTCTATCTTGCTTAGGTTCCGAGAAATTTAGGTGGTCGGATTAAAATGAAACACCCTGTATATACGAACGACCTGTAAGAACGACCAAGAACGACCTGTGAGAACGACCTGTGAACCGATACGGAATGCAAAGAGCTACTTCTTAATGCTCTCGGGAACGACGTAGTATCAGCTATTACTCAATCGTTTGTCGCCAAGAACGACCTGTGAGAACGACCTGTGAGAACGACCTGCGATCATATATTTTATATTTCTTCTAGACTCGCAACGACCTGTGATCTGTAAGAACGACTGAAGTATCTAAAATAAACGGTCTTACAAAAACATGCCCGTTTAGACCCATGTCAAACGACCATTTAAAAAAAAGGAGCTGCAAAACAAGACTTATCGCCTAATTTTATCGATTCTTTTGCGACTTGCTTTACTGCGATGTCGAAAACGCTACGCGCGACGAATGAACGTATCGCGATCTCGAACCGTACGCTTGCCCGTATAACCACGTTCGAACGAGGCGAAACGATCGCGGGGTTCATTTGTAAATGAACCGTAAGCAAACCATAAGCGAACCATAAGCGAACCATAAGCGAACTATAAGCGAACTATAAATCAACCGTAAATGACCTACGAATCAACCATAAATGACCCATAAATACCCCTGTAAAAGGGAGTATATGAATATGGACAGGAATATAAAGAGACCGTAAATGACCTGCGAATCAACCATAAATACCCCCCTGACAAAAGGGAGTATATGAATATGGACAGAAATATAGAGGAGGATCGTGCGAGAGTGCGCAAACACGTACATATCTTCTACGACGACGACGACTACGACGACGACGAATCTCTCGTGGAAATGCGGCGCGCCCGATCCGCGAAACGAGCTCAGTTCGCGCGAGCGACGATGAGTTTCGACGCGCGCAAGGGGAAGGGAGGCGATGCGGACGAAGATCGGGAGGAAGGGAAGACGCCGTTCTTCGACTCCGTCCTTCGACGCCGTCCTTCGATGCCATCTTTCGACGCCATCTTTCGACTCCGTCCTTCGACGTCGAGATCGACGAGACGCCTGAAATACGTAAAGCTGTGTATTAATAATCGAGAGACGCGAAAGGAAAGAACGGCGCGAGAAGAGATCCGTACCTCGGTTAAAATCCTCCGTCGTCCGTACGGACGGAGCTCGTTTCCTCGAGCGAGCTCGCTTCCTCGAGCGAGCTCGCGTCATAGTACCATATCTCCACAGGAGAATCGTCGTCGCAGAAATCTTCGGTTTTAAACGCGCGATCCGAGACGAGCGGCTCCATGCCGAATATCTTCTTAGTCGAAAGATGTCGGCGTAGATATTAGGGGAGCGCCTCTCCCATTCTCTATAGGACGGCCGGTCGCACCATAAGGAGTTTAAGAATCGCCGTTGCTTCAGTCTCGCCTGTCGTATCCAATGTCGGCGACGTATGTTGAATCCACAGATCTCAACCTCATTCTCGAACTATGAAAAAAATGTACGTCTTATTTTTCCTCGAAGGAGAGCGAAAGAATAAAGAAGGATGACGAATGAGTACTTACGTTCCACGTGACAGCTATATTGAGGATCGCATCCATGAGATTTCTAATGTACTTTATTTTCCACAAGCACATCCACGGCGTGAACGTGCATTCGTGGAGCATCCTCCGCAATCGCGAAATTTCATCGCTGCTCATCGTCGTTCGCGTGAAAAAAAATAACTCCGAGAATGAATGCTGGATACGCTAGGAACACTGGACGCACTGAGAACACTCGCGATATCAGACGCACTCAACAACGGGATCGCGAGACTCATTCTGAGGAAAAAACTCTCTCGGCGTTAATTTATACCTGCGATATCGCTATCGCCGAGTCGTTGTGATTGTGTCGAATGCTAATGCTAACGCCGTAATCTAAGGCGATATGAAAAAAAATCGCGCGATGCGGAAATATAACGAGGTAATTTAATTTAATGAGGCGCGATAAATTCTCGATTGCTCCGGAGGAAGTGCCGGAAAATACGTTTAACCGCGTACGCGCGATACGAGTTTATTGGCTAATTAATATTATTTTAATATTATTTTAATATTATTTTAATATTATTTTAATATTATTTTAATATTATTTTTTTCTTAGTATTAATAGTATCTTTCTAAGTATTAATAATACTTTTAGGTAGGACGATAAGTCATCGATAAGAGTACGAGCAAGACTAATCTACGATGCGGAAAACGCGCGCGACGCGTCTCTGTTCACATGTCGCGCAATTGATCGCGTCTCTCCAACCACCAGTTGTGTAGTTTGCACACGTTTTCCAAGGCGCAATTCTTCGAGTCATAGCCGCAGCGATAGACGCGAGTCGCGGCTAGCGTTCGAAGGGGTCCGATATCCTCGTAATCGGCGTCGATGGTCTCCATCGTCAGGTCGAGCTGTTCCGCGACCTCTCCCGCGATGTCGGCCAGCCACTTCTTCTTCTCGAGACCCTTGACGTAGATCGTCACCGCGGCGTTCGATGCGAGATCCCTCGACGCGCGATATATCGCGTCGCGAACGATCTGCTTCGCTGTCTATACTCCACGTGTCCGTCGGTCCAGTGAAATTCGTGGTGATTAAAAGTCAGCCAACAGGCCTGCGACTTCTCGCTCTTCGTTAGCAGATTCCACGACATCGGCGCGCGAAAGACGTGATGCGTCAGATCTCTGCCGTTCGCGAGTATCGCCATCTCCTTCGTCACGAATCGCTCGTTGACGACGAAACCCTGCAGATCGACGGGGCGATATCGCTCGCGACCGTCGTCGCGGTCATCGTCGCGAGATACTGACGTTTATTCGCGTCTCTCCGCGATATCTTCGCGATTTCGAGTTTCCTCTCTCCCCTCTCCCGTCTGACGCGTCGTCTTACAGGATCTTACGCACGACGTTCGTCAACGGATTGTACTCCACCACGCGATCGTGAATGATTAGACAGTATGCCGTGGTGTTAGAAGGAACGTTGTCCTTGCAGTCGAATTCTAGACGAACGTCCACAGTGGCGCTCTTAATCGCTTCGTTTTGGCGGGAACAATCTATCACCGCGAGCGAGCCGCAGTATAGAAATTTGTTCATAGTCAGGAGCGTCTCGTCGCTCGCGGATCCGTAATACGTTCGTCGAAATCTCGCGTAGGCGTCGTACAGTACGGCGATCTTGTTTTTATCGAAGTCCAAATTCATATCGTCGTACGGATAGAAGTCGGAATTGAGATACAACTTTACGTTGGTCCGATTGCACGCGTCGAATTTGGAAGCGTCCTGCGACAGGACGTTTTTCCTTCCGGTCTGCAACGCGAAGATGACGTAACGCGGTTTCTCGAGCTGCGTGGCCGCTTTTACGGCCCACGAGTGTTTGGTCGTGCTCTGCAGGAGCAGAAACTCGTAGAGATCCTACGAGCGAAAGGGCGTGCTCAGATATCTACCGCTGCCCAACGTGTGCAACAGCGATAATTTGTTGACGTCATTCAGCACCACGTGCGGCACGCGCCACTGTATCTTCGTGAGCTCGACTCTCGGCTCGAATTCCTCGCGCGAAATCAGACAATTGTTGTCGTTTCGCGCTCTTATCAGAATCAGCTCGTGACGCGCGTTGATGACGACGCGCCTGTAATCCTCACAGAAACCTAGCAGCGTGTCGAGAGGAACGCAGAAGTTGAAATCGCCCGTCGACGCGACGCCGCTCGGTCCAGTCGCGAGATCCCATCCGGCGTTCTTCAAGATCTTGCCTCGTGCCGTCAGAGAGACGTAGTTCTTGATCGTGCTGGTTATTCCGACGTTGCGATTACGATCGATCTCCACGCCATCGAGCTCGTAACGTATCTCCTCGAACATAAAGGCGACGCAATTGTTCACGAGCCACGCCGGCGTCGAGGGCACGGACGGCTCCTTAGAGGCCGAGGCAGGCTTACCCGATTCGCCGCTCGACGCGAGCGGCGGATTATTCTTCGCGTGCAGTCTACCTTCGACGTAGAGAAAACTCGCACGGCAGCGTGTATAGGTCCTGCTGTTGTATGGGTATTCGTATCTCGTCGCTGTATCCGAAAGTGGTGTTGGCGTACGGATTGTACGTGTGACTCTCAATCTTCACGATGCGATCATCGAAGACGGGTTCCCCGCCGATGCTCAGAATGTCCCTCATGTCGTCGTCGAACTATCGCGCGGCTTTCGGTACGACGAAACCCATGGATCGCAGAAAAGCGACGTTGGCTGCGGACAATCTCCCGACGCTCCTGTCTCTCGAGCGCGCGACTCGAGTTCCCGCGACGCGATCGCGGTCGCCGCCGCGATGCGACGTCGCGACGCTAGATTCGCGCACGACGAGCATCGCTCCGTTCCCTCCCCCGTCTCGCCGCGCGCTCTCTATCGTCTGCGCCGCACGTGCAGTCGAATCGAGATCTCGCCGTGGAAATCGATCAATCGACCGTCCTGATCGACGACGCGCAGCGATACGTCGGTCACGAGTCGCGCGATGACTGGCAGATAAATGATCTGCCTCGGGATCTCAGACACTTTGTATCCCGGCGGGACGTTCGGCGCGAATTCGTGTATCGCGTGGGCGAATCTCTCGTTCACGTACGCGCCCGTCGTCAGGTTGCACTCCACGCGAATCGTCTTAACCGCGATAATGTCCACGGGCTCGTCGGACGCGTACCATTTGTTCGGCCGCAATACGCGAGACTGGGAGAAACCTAACAACGATCCGATATTGTTCGGTTTGGTGAAATTAATTCGATACGCGCATTTGATTTCGCTTCTCATGGTATTGTCGTTACCGCGTAGCGCGAGAACACGATCGCCGCTCTCGTCCTCCACGTCCTCGACATCGTACAGATATTCCTCGTCGTCGTCGCCGTCGCTGGCGCCATCGCCATCGTCTCTCCCTCTGGTACTCGCGCTCGGCGGTCGTCGCCGTCTTCGAAGAATCGCGGCTCTCAGGTACGCGCTTATATCGCGCAGCTCGTAGGATCCGATCGGGATCGCGATCGTCTCGTCGTTGTCGTCGAAGTAAAATTTATTGTTCGAGGAATTCACGTTCGGAATCGTGTTGTAGGTCTCGAAATTGGTCAAGCCGAGCTCGTATTCGTCGTCGCTCAGATCGAGAGGCGGAAAGTAACTCGCCGTGAGAACGTTGCTTCTTCCGGTTAGCGTGAGAATCAGCGACATGACGACGCGCGCTATCGCCGTTAGAGACCGAAGGGCTTCCTCCTTCTTCCTCCCCAATTGACTCGTCGAAGGAAGCGCAGGCACAATTGTCCGCAGACGCTCTGTTCGTACGTCTGCTGGGAGTCGCGATTGTACGCGACGCGCGTGTCGCGTCCGAGATAGCGCGCGAGTTCTCGAGGCGGCCGAAGATTGCCGAAAGCGTCGAAGTAGATAGCATCTTTTCCCCTTTTAGCGTACGCCACCCAATGCGTGCCCGGCCCCGAGGCGTCGTCCAGGTTCACGATACCACTCTCGTCGCGACCAACTCGCGCCAGCAACGCGTCGCGCATGAACACACCTCTGAAGTGACGCACGCGAGCGCGCCTGGCCGCGCTGTTCAACTGTTCGTTCGTCGTGACGCCGATCGGAGCTACGACGTTGTCTAACGCGCGCGAAGGCCCGACTTTTTTTTTTCTTCTTCCTCCTAACCGTTCGTCCGCCTCGTCTCGCGATGCTTCCGCCGCGCTTGTAAGGCGCGAGATACAAACCGCGGCCCTCCATCGCTCGATTGTGTCGCTACAGCTCCTCCAATTGTCGACGCGCGGCCTTACCGTCGTTCACCATCTTCGCCACGCCGGCCGCTCCGCCGATCAGCGATCCTAAAGCTCCGAGCGCCGGCAACAGCGGCAGAAAGCCGCCGCGTTTCGCCGCGAGAAGAACCCGTCCTCTCGTCGTCGTCGTCGTCGTCCTCCTCCTCCTCGTCGAGGTTCTTTTCTTGCCGCCGCCGCCGCTCTTTCTCGCGCCTCTTCGCGCTCCAGCCATACCCATTCCTAGTTTCGTCTTCGCCTTCATAGCCGCCCATACGGCCGACGCCGCCACTCTCTTGCCGAGGGTCGAATCCCCGGCCCGGATACGCTCGAACGCTCTCGCTCCGAGCGTCCGATCCGCGACGTGCTGATCAGCGAGATCGTCGCTCCGCGAATAGGCGACGTCGTGCTCGCGGCAAGCCGCGTCCAGCGGATTGACGCCTCGATCGCCTCGCGTGAGCCGCTTAGCGAGACGAGTACCGGGACCGCAGAACTGATATCCCGGTATATGTAGTTCGAACGGAAGAGCGTTTATAATTCTACTGAACAAACCGCTACCGCCGACGATTGCCGTGCGCGTCCTCGACGTATCTCATACGCCTCGATCATCGACGCGCTCATAGTCACGCCATTTCGTTCTCCTGGCATATGCCGCAGTCTTTGATGCACGGCGGTGGACCGTCGATGTGCGTTCGTTGCCACGGCTAATTGTGATGCTTGTGACAGAGGCGATAACGCTGCATGTCCGGATCGTCCTGCAGATGTATAGGAAACCTCTCCCACAATCGATCGACGAAATGGCCGTACTTGTCCAGCAGAAGCTTCTTCGGAACGTACTGCAACTGATCGACGCTGAGTCCGAGAATATCGGAATCGTTCACCAATAGAATAAACATGACGAAGCGTCGCGCGCGTGCGCGTAACTCTATCGCGTCACCGTCGATCGGACACGCCTAATTGCGCGATCGTTTTTTTTCTCCCTCTATATATATATGCGTTCGCGAGGGTGAATCCGCGCTCGTTGCTCGCGCGCGCGAGTCTGCGCACTGTGACGCAGATTCGCTCGCGACAACGAGGAAGAATCGCGAGAGGAGAGAGAGATAGAGAGAGAAAACGATGCGTTTCGTGCGTCAACCAATAAGAGTGCCCAACGTCGACGGTAAGACGCGCTCGATGAACGAGGAACCGCGAAGACACGGTAATCTGTTACCGACCGCGATCCGCTGCGTAATCTGCGGTTCCTCTAATTGCGGTAAAACGAACGTGCTGATAAGCCTTCTGGAGAGCCCGCACGGTGTGCGATTCGAGAACGTGTACGTTTACTCGAAATCGTTGCATCAGCCTAAATATCAATATCTGGAGAAATTGTTGAAACCTATGAGGGATATCGGTTACTTCACGTATTCGAACAACGTCGACGTCATCCCGCCTAGCGAGGCGTCGCCGAACTCGATATTCGTGTTCGACGACGTGGCCTGCGACAAATAGGACGTCGTGAGAGAGTACTTCGCCATGGGGCGTCACGCGAATGTCGATTGCTTCTATCTGTGCCAATCGTACGCTAAGATACCCAAATATTTGATACGCGACAACGCGAATCTATTGATACTCTTTAAGCAGGATGGCACTAATCTGAAACACGTGCACAGCGATCACGTGAACACCGATATGCCGTACGAGGATTTTTACGCGCTGTGTCGCGCGTGTTGGAAATACCGATACGGTTTTCTAGTGATCGACAAAGATAGCGCGCTGCGCAACGGCAGATACAGGCGAAGGATTCAACGATTACGCCGTGCCGCAGAGCGTCGCGTGCGTCGTCGTCGTCGTCGTCGGCACGGCGTAATCGTTGAATCCTTCGCCTGTATCTGCCGTTGCGCAGCGCGCTATCTTTGTCGATCACTAGAAAACCGTATCGGTATTTCCAACACGCGCGACACAGCGCGTAAAAATCCTCGTACGGCATATCGGTGTTCACGTGATCGCTGTGCACGTGTTTCAGATTAGTGCCATCCTGCTTAAAGAGTATCAATAGATTCGCGTTGTCGCGTATCAAATATTTGGGTCAGATGAGTCAGTCTTCTCGAGACGGCGGCGAACGTAGAGGGGAGAGAGATAAAAGAAGGCGAAACATCGAGGAATGACGGGCGCGATGACGGACGTCGACAGACGCGAGAAAACCGCGATAGAGATAGCGAGAACGCGCGCGTCGATTCGCAGGAAGCACAGAGCGCTAAAGACCGGAAGGATGGAGAGCGATAGCGCTCTGGAGACGCGTTTCAAACCGATCGTCGAACCGTTGCGACGCATCGCCGAGCGCGTCGGAGACGATTCCGCGCGAGGCGCGAGCGCGCGAGAGAGGGAACCTGCGAAGAGCGAGATCGACGAGACGTTCGCGCGAGGCGTCAAGAGAACGGTGGCATCGGAGGAGGAGGAGGAGGACGACGAGGAAGAGGCCGAGGAGAGCGCGTTACCGCCGCCGCCGCCGTCCGCGAAAGGATTCAAAGCTAAACGATCTCGCCGTCTGAACGCGACGACTTCCACGCCCGTGGGAGCGCCGGACGCGTCTCCCGCGCAACGGCGCGAATTCGCGAGCGGAAACCTCTTCGCGCAACCGTCCGTCGAGGAGACGTTCGAGACGAGCGACGTCTTCCTCAGATCGCCGGCGACGCTCGAAACGTCCGTGAGACAATCTCTGCGGACTCCTCGAGGGCGAGATATCCTGCGCGATTAATTGGGCCCGTTGGCGCAAAAGTACGTGGGCGCTCTTCTCGGCTGCGGCGCGCCGAGCGATTTCGATCACGTTTACGGAGTCTACTTCGCCGACGCGGGCACTATGCTCGGGGACAAGCGATTCGACGTAGGCGCCGACGACGCGATATTCGTGGACGGAGTCAGATACGCTGGTACTCCCGGTCTGTACGAATTGATCTTCAAGAGAATTCCCGACGATTTCAAGTACACCGAGAGAGACAAAGCCGCGTACAGGAGCATACTTCTGCAAACTAATGCTCACAGGCGCGAGCACAATATTCGCATGCCCGTACTGGGAAACAAGGAATACAAGTACAAGCACGTCATAGCTTCGATCCTGCGGACGGATCCGAGAAAGAGGATCGGCAGGGGTCGCGTGCCGCGGGCTATGCGCGCGACACCGTGAACTACGTTCACTGGGACGATCCGAACGAATTGGTGGATCGTCTCCGATTGCTGGACGCTTCTCGTCAAGCCGGCAACAACGCTCACGACAACGAGATCCTGTCGATAATCGAGGAGCTCCACGAGGCGGGTGAGATACTGTAAGACGATCGCGGCGACGCGCGCTTCATTCGACGACGCGATGTTCGCGAGCAAGTTCGGAGTGTCGACGCGGAGAAGACGCGATCGCGACGCGACGAGCGCTAGATTG